ACCTCTAATCTTAGTGATGATTCTGTGTCTAATGACTTATTACATGTTTGCTTATTTAAGCATGTTGTAGCATGTAAATTTGATGCAAGTAAGGTTTATTCATCAAAGCTAGGATGGTTTAATGATGAACATTGCCAATCTTTTGAAATGAATAAGAGCTTCACTTATATGTTCAAACTGAGTTGCAATATTTTCATGCCTTCTACTTCTTGTGATAGTTTTTGGCTTTAGATTTTATGAACTATGAAAATTACTCATGTATATATGTGTCATATGTGCAAAAATCAAAGGAAGTTAAAATGGATGACATATACATATACAACATGTACACCTTGTCTTTTTCGTTAGCCACATTTTAGATTAAGCAACGCCGAGGACGGCTTTGTTTTCAAGAAGGGGAGGATGCTGAGGACATGAATACCTTAGATACGACCAAAAATATTGCATACATGCATATTTGTCAGGTGATTTCTAATGCAAACTATTCAATAATCTATTTATGTTATCCAGAACAAAAATACTTCACACACTTTTGTGATTTATCTAATTTTAGGTGTATGGGACATTTGTACAATCCACATATAAAGATAAGGGAAAAGAAGAAGTTTAGGTTTTGTTCAAAAAGTCCTCTCACGTCACTTTTGGGCCAAGAGAAGATAGAGTTCAAGTCTCTCACGTTCTGGATTCAGATTCGGAGTGCACAGACATAGCTGACTCAAAACGCCAACAACTTTTTCATACGAACTTTGAATTGGGTGATTCTTTTTTTGTTGGAAACTAGATTTCGTGCTCTTTCCAACCCAATTGGATTCACCTTCAAATTCGTCCGGAGCGTTGAGTTATGGACGAAACAATCTGACGTTGCAGCAGAATCCGAGTCAAACTACAAGCCCAAAGGTGTTGCATCATCTCCACTTAGGCCCATGAGCCTTGTACGACATAGGGTTAGTTTTAGGCTGCCTTGGGACGTCCTCCCACCTCCTTGGCCGCCACCCCTTGCTCCTATGTAAGTAGATCCATCTAGTAGCTTTTTCCTTGGGTTTTATTTAGTTAAAAGTTAGCCATCGTTACAACTTTGTGTACTTCGTTTGTGTCCAAGGACCAGACCAAGACCGCTTATGAAACCCCACTTTTATCAATACTTCATCCCTACTCGCAATATTCAGATTGCTTAATCATATTCTTGCTTGTTCTTCGATTGCTTGCAGGAATAGACCTTCTTGGCCAGGTTGATCGTGCTCCAGCGTGGTCAATAACCTCTCGGAGTTGGTTTAGCGGTTGCTAAGGCGCAACATCGTGCACGTTTGTAGTTGGATCATCAAAGTCGTCTCCACTAAATCGATAGTTATCATCTCATTGAAAGATCGGGACCCTCGCCTCTATCCGTCCTACTAGGAGGAGAAGGGGAAAGAAGGAAAGGAGAGGAAGAGGATAAGGAAAGGGGGGCCCCTCCCTAGTCCAATTCGGACTCCCTATAGGAAGGGGGCGCGGCTGCCCCTTTTGGGCTGCCTTCCCTCTTCCCTATGGCCCATGTAGGCCCAATCTTTCCCCGGGGGGTTCCGGTAACCCTCTGACATTCCGGTTTTCTCCGAAATCACCCGGAACACTTCTGGTGTCCGAAGATAGTCGTCCAATATATCAATCTTTATGTCTCGACCATTTCAAGACTCCTCGTCATGTCCGTGATCATATCTGGGACTCCTAACTACCTTTGGTACATCAAAACACATAAACTCATAATATTGATCATCACCGAACGTTAAGCGTGCGGACCCTACGGGTTCGAGAACTATGTTGACATGATTGAGACTCATCTCCTGTCAATAACCAATAGCAGAACCGGGATGCTCATATTGGTTTTCCTACATATTCTACGAAGATCTTTATCAGTCAAACCGCACAACAATATACATTGTTCCCTTTGTCATCGGTATGTTACTTGCCCGAGATTCGATTGTCGGTATCTCAATACCTAGTTCAATCTCGTTACCGGCAAGTCTCTTTACTCGTTTTCGTAATGCACCATCCCGTAACTAATTCATTAGTTACATTGCTTGCAAGGTTTATAGTGATGTGCATTACCAAGAGGGCCTAGAGATACCTCTCCGATACTCGGAGTGACAAATCATAATCTCGATCTATGCCAACTCAACAAACACTATCGAAGACACCTGTAGAGCATCTTTATAGTCACCTAGTTACGTTGTGACGTTTGATAGCACACTAAGTGTTCCTCCGGTATTCGGGAGTTGCATGATCTCATAGTCATAGGAACATGTATAAGTTACGGAGAAAGCAATAGCAACAAACTAAACGAATATCGTGCTAAGCTAATGGATGGTCAAGTCAATCACATCATTCTCCAATGATGTGACCCCGTTAATCAAGTGACAACTCTTTTCTATGGTCAGGAAACATAACCATCATTGATTCAACGAGCTAGTCAAGTAGAGGCATACTAGTGACGCTTTGTTTGTCTATATATTCACACTTGTACTAAGTTTCCGGTTAATACAATTCTAGCATGAATAATAAACATTTATCATGATATAAGGAAATATAAATAACAACTTTATTATTGCCTCTAGGGCATATTTCCTTCATGTTTGCGGTGTATAAATTATCATGCTATTTACATATAAAGTTACTTGGGGTGCCTAACCCCCCTGGTTTAAAGTTACCTTGGTTATAATAACCTTTTTCCTTGGGTTAAAGTTACCGTGGTGTTTATACCTAAGTTATCATGTTTGTGGTGTGTCTGTTATCATACTACTTATATAGAAGTTGTCGAGGGTGCGTGAGCGGTGGTGCATGCACAGTTGGATTTTAATAGCTCTCCTATCTACCCGAAATGATCTTCTACCTTTACTATCTATGTTCTTTACATATCTTTTGACATAGGTTATTAGCTTTGTTGTGCGTCAATTATCACGTTATTTGCACAGAAGTTATCGCGCCGGGGGAGGGGGGTGTGTATGTTTTCAACAAATTCTTTTACCCTTGGTCAAAGATTATCGCGGTGTCTGTGCATAGGTTATCAGCTCCACTGTGCATAAATTATCACGTTATTTGCACAGGAATTATCGGGTGTGGGGTGGGGTGCGTTTTCAATTATTATTTCCCCCTGGTCAAAAGTTACCAAGTTTTTGTACATAGGTTATCAACTCCATTTTGCGTAATTATCATGCTATTTGCACATGATTTATGGGGTGGGGGGTTATGTTTCCAACAATTCTGTTTCCCTTGGTGTCAAGGTGTTTGTACCTACCCCCGCAAAAAAGGTGTTTGTAACAAAGTTATTGACTCTGTTCTGCATAAATTATCATGCTATTTGCACATGAGTTATCGGGGTGTATTTTGACGCGGGTATTTATACGTAAGTAATCAAGTTTTGCGATATTGAGGTATGTCTCACCAATTTTTTCCCCGGTCAAAGTTACCACAGACCAACGCACACATACCAAAAACATATATGACTCCATTGAAATTCAACATGGTAATTTTAGCATAAGCAGTGTGATAACTATATCATTAGCACCCTGATAAACTACAGTATTAGCAGCATGATAATTGCAGAAAAGTCATGTTGGTAACCCGAGCAGTAGAAGATTTAGTGAAAAGACGTTGCATCAACTGTTGTAGAACAAAAAAAAAGTGACATTTTTTTTTACAAAGACACTTGATGCAACCGATCAGTGAAAGATGATGCATCAACCTGACTAACTGAGTAGTATTTTTTGGCAGGTTGGCCTGTCTTGTTATCTCACAAAATGTTGAACTCTTCACAAAATGCTGAACCCAAACTGGCAGTTCCCGGCTGGTGCAGCAAGCAGAGGAACCTAGAGCACAAGGCCAAGACGCCACGACGTCTCTGCCAATCACTTTTTTTGTGGAAGATCTGCTAATCACTAATCAGCGCGTGTAATTATGCCGGTGGCTGAACCGTGTTGGACTATACTCAATTTTGCCATGCACAATTCATCATCGCGTGGCATCTCCTCTGCTCTAGATGCAGCTGACCAGATACAAATCCACGATTTGATTTGACCAACGACAGCATGTCGGCCCTCGTCAAGCCCCCTCTATTATTTTTAGGTAGATGAAGGTTTGGGTGAGACTGACTATATCATGTCTACCTTGTTCATTGAGCTGTGAGTAGAGAGATGGGCGATGGGGCCAGGGAGCTGGGAAATGAGGATGCGTAGGCGTGGCTGGGAGGATTCAGGCTGGAAAGAGGCAGTCGCTGACCGGAGGCAGAGGAGCTGACGGCCTTGGGCTGAAACGGCAGACAACGGTGAGGAGGAGGCCGAGGCGAGGCGCCGGGCGATGCGGAGTAGGTGAGCAGCAACAAGCGCCATGGCTTCTGTGCTCACCGACGAGCCAGGTTAAGGCGAGGTAGGACACGGCGGACGGGGACGAGAGAAAGGGCGGTAAGGATATTAGGGGAGGAGGCGTGACGACGGAGGAGCGGCCTTCCGGCGGCGGCGCTAGCCAGTGCGCCGACAGATGCGGGATCGAGCGCCCCTCTCTTATGACGCTGGGCGGGGACCCGAAGACGAGATATGAACGAAGCGTTTTTTTCACTAGGCGGTGGCAGGGCATGTAAATATCAATGAACTGCTCGTTTTGGAGCGCGATGGTCGTACGATCTATAATGGACGGCATCCAGGTCGTTCGGCCTGTTGCAAAACTCCGACCGGCAGGAATTTAGCTTTATTGTAATATCAAATGGATCAGATCTCTTAATTAACCTCAAGAGAGGTCGATGTACAACAGAGAGAGGGTAATATTCCTCTCTGCATCAACTGTTTCTTCTTTTAAGATGAAACAAGCAAAAATGATTCATCGGTCACATCAATAGAAATAGAATGAAACCCAAGACAGCAGTTTAAAAACACACATTACAAGAAAATATGATGCCTCAGTTTCCCTTATATACTGGATTAAACCGTGGATACGATCGGTTTAATCCCAGAAGCTCCTCCCATAATTAGTCCGTTTTAATTCTTATGCCTTATCTCGATTCCCTGCATGATGAGACCGCCCTTGCCGTTCAAACGTTTCGTCTCCGCCAGACCGAAGGAAACGTCGCCATCTTCATCCCCCTCGCAGACAAACTCTCCTAGCTCCAGCTCCATCCAACCATCACCCCTTTCACGAGGGAGCACCACATCCTCTGCATGGCTTCTTTGCGGGTTAGGTTGGAGGCAGACCTTGCGGGCAAGGTCAGTGCCTCCAATGCTCACCGATGCATCGGCCGGCCAATCCAGCCCGTAGGACTCGTCGTCCAACTTGTACACCATGTAATTGGCGTAAGCTGAGCCTCGGGACAGCATCTTGCTGTGTATCCTGCCGCGGATTTCCAACCAGCAAACGAACCTGAGTTGAGCACTCTCAGGGAACCTGGAGTCAAACGCGGGGTTAAGATTCGTAACCAAGACGAGAACGAAACAATATCATAACTTGCAGAAAACCATCAGCATCGCGCGTTGCAAAATACTCCCTCCATTCCTAAATATAAGCCTTTTTATAGAGATTCTAATACAAACTATACACGAAGCAAAATGAGTAAATCTACACTTTAAAATGTGTCTATATACTTCCATATTGAAATACAAGGTCTTATATTTAGAAATGGAGGGGTACTCAACTGGGCAAATTAAAATTGCAAACTTTGCTGAACTCACTGCTAGTTTTTTCATGGCTACTGAATATTCTGGGTTTTGGCCCTCGTGGCTACTACCCTGCATCCTAGCACTTCCACTTGCAATTATAAGACTACAACGCAAGAAGGTATGCAACAGCACTATCAAAATTAACGATTGGAACAGAAGCTAGCTGCAAGGAAAGACCAAAGGAGGATGGCAAGAAACCTTGAGTCGGCGAGATGGATCCAGGACGTCCAGTAGCGCGGCGTGTCGCGCCACGCGATGGACAGGTCCCTCGCCGGCACCATGTAGCACTTGGCGCCGCTCTCCCTGTCCAGCCACATGCTCTGCACCATGGCGCCACTTGAGTTGATTAGCTAGCGGTCAACCAAATTTGTTCCAGGGGTTAGTTGTATGTGTATACAAAATACATACCAGTCCGCCTGGGAGGAGGGCGGGGCTGCCGGAGAGGCGGAGGAACAGGCCCTTCTTCCCGCGCGGCGGCAGCAGCAGCTCCCCGTCGGCCAGCGGCGGGAGGTCGGCGGGCGGCGGCAGGAAGCAGGCCCACACGGCGTCGGAGTCGGCGGCGGCGCGGAACGCCGGGGAGACCGCCGCGGCGCGGCAGGCGTCGCGCGGCGACGTGCGGGAGAGCGCCGCCGACAGGATCTCCTCCGGCAGGCGCGCGATCTCGCACTGGCCGGGCTCCATCGGCTCCTCCTCCGCCTCCGCGGCCTGGCTGTGTTCGATCCGATGACGAAACACTCGGGAGGAAGTTGATTTGATTGATTGATTCGGGGCGAAGCAAGCTAAGCAAGCTATACTTATTTTGAACAAGTGGAGCCCAGTCGCCTTGGTACAGACTACAGACGACATCACACGTGGATGCAGACCGGTGCGCCTATATCGGGGGATTTGATTTTTTTGCCACCCTTTACTTTGGACTTTGACAATTTGCCACTAGTTAGATTGTAATTGATCAGGTGACACTTATTACTCCGTACTTTGATCTTTTGCCACTTTCAACACAAAAACAATCCATGGAAATAATTGACAAACTAAGTAGACAAAATAAAGAACCATTGTACCCTTGGACCCAAACAAAGCACATCCTTAGCCATTCCCGTCCAAAATCACAGCCGCCGTCGCTCCCCCGCAGATGTACCTGCTTCTCCCCCTTGCTGCTCTGTGGGCTTCGCCCTCTCATGCTCCTCATGCTGCTTGATGCTGCCCCACTGCTCCCTGCGCCCCCGCCTTCCCCGTTCAAACTCCCTTAGCTCCAGTATATATCTTCATAAGCTCAAAGTTGAAATGCATAACGCCGTTGAACCAATGATCCAAATTGCATGAAACTTTCTCAGATTAGTCACGCAGATATGAGTGATTTACCGTAGTTTCTTGAATTTTTTCTAACAACTTTTAAATTCTGGTCAAAATGTGGTCAAACCAGTTAAGTTCAAAGTTGAAATGCATTTTGCCGTTGAACTGATGATCCAAATTGCATGAAAATTTCCCAGATTAGTCGTACATATATGATTGAATTTCTCAAATTATTTGAAACTTTTCTGACAACTTCAATTTTTGGCCAAAATTTGATTAAACTACTTAAGCTCAAAGTTGAAATGCATTTTGCCGTTGAACCAATGATCCAAATTGAATAAAACTTTTCCAGATTAGTCACACATATATGAATGATTTTCTGTAATTCTTAGAGATTTTTCTGGGTGGTTCAAAAAAATGTTCAAATTTTGGGCAGCATTTTGGCTAAATTTGGACATCATTTTGCCTCTTAATTCACCTTTGAAGATATGTATGCACAAAACAGCAAAATTCAAACATATATTTCCAGACGGATATATTCATACACCATGACACAATATCAAGACAATATAGCGAAATAAAGCACTTAACATGGTCATACACCATCTACCATAATCTTTTCTTTCTGCCATGTTTTACAACCAAAAGCACACGGCCATAGTAGCTGCCATGTTACAACCAAAAGCATAACGAAATAGTTATGGCCATGCTGCCATGTTACATCCAAAGTAAAGGATGCTAAGTCTGTCATATTACAACCAAAAGTATAGAGAAGATCAAGCACAACACTAGTACTTCCTTCTCTTCGGGGTCAACTTCCTAGCTTTTGAGCTTGAGGCCATGTCGTATGCTATCATGGTGTCCTCCATGGTAGGGGTGGGTTTTCGCGACGCCTCATCAGCCAATGCCATGGCCAACATCCTTCTTGTCACTGGATTGGACTTCTTTGGAGACTCTGTGGCATAGTGATCATGTGCCTTGTTGGAGTGACGGCCACATTAAGTTGTGGTGCTACTCGACAATGACCAATAAGGAGCAACATACTATGGAGTTAGCGTGTATTCGCTAATGTACTGGACAATGAGCACCAAAAAGAAGCTACTTTGCTTTGTCACCTCGGCTCGGGAACAAACAAAGGAGGAAAGTCGAAGCCGTCTACTACTATGTGGTCACCTCTTTCCGGTTCAGCCATCTTCAACACCTAGCTCATCTGAGTTATGTGGTCTGTAACAGCAAAAAATCAAGCAAAAATTATGAGATGTACACCAGCAAGTAAGCAATAGTGACGACAGAAGCAACACACAACAGCAGCACATAGCGAAGGCGGCAGCTACAACAAACAGCAACAACACATAGAGGCCACAGCAGAAGCACGGAACTGAGAATTTTAGCCCCCGCGCACACAACAACAACACATGGCGAATTTCAGGTGCATCGGCGGTCGTCGACGCGCGCGCAAGCCGGGGGCCCTGCGGGGCGCCGCGAGTCGACGAGTCGCGGCGAGGCTCCGACCGGCCGCCACTCCCCTTGCTGGTCACCCTAACCCTAGGGCGCGCACCAAGGATATGAACAAGAGAGAAGAGAGGGAGGGAGCGGGAAAGAGGGAGGGAGCGGGAGAGAGAGAGAGAGAGAGAGAGAGAGACTCACCAGGACCGCCGCCGTCAAGCACCGCCAGGGCCGCCGCCGTCGTCCAGCAGTCGCCGCCGTCGTCCAGCAGTCGCCGCCGTTGCCTCTGTTTGAACCTGCATGCGAGAGACGAAGGGAGGGGATGAGAACGACCGCAACCCTCTATTCCTGGTCAATCAAGAGGAAGGGTAAATTCGTCCTTTTTAGCGGGATCCATCTGAGAGAGGGCAAAATATCAAACACCCAGATAAAAAGTGTCATCAGATTAAATACAAAGTAACTAGTGGAAAAATAGCAAAGTCCCAAGTAAGGGCTGGCAAATAATCAAATTCCCTGCCTATATCTCGCTTCCAGCGAGTCTGGCTTCAGACTCGCTGAAGGGGCAGCGAGCTGGGCCAGCCCACGAGCGCCGCGGGTTTTTTTTATACTTTAAAATAGTATATATATATATATATATATATTGTTCAGCATTTTTGAAAAAAAATTGATAAGTTTTTGAAAAAAGCTGAACAAGTATATAAGAATGTAGAATGAAAAACAAAGGAAACAAAGAAAACCCCAAAAAATGAAAAACGAAAAATAAACAAAATAAACCAAAGGAAAAATAAATTTGAAAAAACTTAAGAAACAAAGAAATAAAGAAAACCAAATAAAAAAGGAAGAAAGGGAAAAATCCCAATGAAAACAGAGAAAAAATGGAGAAACCCCGATGAAAAAACAAACAAAAAACTGGAAAAACGGAGAAGAATCAATGAAACGCAACTCGTTTGGACTTAAGTTGCGTCGCCCTACTGTTCTTTCACGAACCAAAGGCAAGCGCAGTGGCTCGCCGTCGTTGCTCCAAAATAGGAAAGTAGGCCCCTCAAAAAAAAAATAGGAAAGTAGGGTTCGAATCTGGCGCGCTCCAGCCCGGCCTGAGTCCATAATAGGTATTTTGGGTATTCAGCTGTGGGTGTGCGTGAATGGACCGGCCCGATTAGTGTACACCCTTCAGCGAGGTGATCGTTCCATTTCGCTTAAGGAGAGATATAGTCGCGATGGATGCAGATTCAGTTGACTGAATTTGAAGCTGAACCTGGACCCTGCAAGGCCAGCCCGGCCTGAGTCCATCGTAGGTATTTCGGGTATTCAACTGTGGGTGTGCGTGAATGGACCGACCCGATTAGTGTACACCCTTCAGCGAGGTGATCGTTCCATCTCGCTTAAGGAGAGATATAGTTGCGACGGATGCAAACTCAGTTGACTGAATTTAAAGCTGAACCTGGACCCTCCGAGATCAGCCCGGCCTGAATCCACCATAGGTATTTCAGATATTCAGAGAAGTATGCATGCTTACTGGACAATATACATGTATTCGTCTATGTATTTCTATAGTCGCCGCGGCCACCTTATACTGTTGTACATGCCACTGACAAAAAACTTAGGGCATGTTCGGTTTGCAGTTTAAGGTTGCCACGTCTAATTTTAGTTGTGTCACAATATTTTAGCCGTGTGTTTGGTTCATTGGCACGCTTGTGTTTTGCCATGTTTTTCTAGCTACATGGTCCATATGTCATAGGCTCAATTTTTTGTTAAATTTTGCCATACTTGTAGTGGTCATCTTGTTAGCCGCATTTTTTATGGCAACCACATTTAACATTTTACCTAAGTTTAGTTGTCACAAAGTTAGTTATAAACCAACAGGTCCTTACTACTCCCTTCGTTTCTAAATATAAGTCTTTTTTAGAGATTCCAACAAGTGACCACATACTGAACAAAATGAGTAAATTTACACTCTAAAATATGTCTACATATATCCATATGTTATAGTCCATTTAAAACGTCTAAACAGACTTATATTTAGGAACGGATGGAGTACATGTTCGTCTTTAATGCATGCATGTACTCGGTGGCAGAGACGGGTACCAGCTGGGGGGCTGAACCCCCTAAGAGCATCTCTAGCAGTTGGCCCCCCAGGAGGGGCTAAAAATCGCCCCCTGGGGGCGCACCGGCGCTAAACCGCGCACTGGGGGCGTGATGCCCCCCAGTCGCAGCGCCCATGTTTTTTTTGAAAAAATCAAATACGGCGCAAACACACCTCAAATTTATCGCAAACATCGGCGAGTTCGTTCAAATTTAAACATATTTTACAAAAAAAAAGAAAAAAAACTAGCACGGGCTGCCCCCGTCGTCTCCATCACCACTCCTCGCCGTCTACCTCGCCGTCCGCCGCCCACCTTTGCAGTTCTACATGCCGAGGAGGCGGTAGAACCGCGTGTAGTCGCCGTCGTCGTCGTCGTCGTCGTCTCCGCCGCCGTCCCTGCTGCATCCCTCCCCCGGTTGGCGCAGCGGGTTGGACGGTCCGGGGGCGGCGGCGTCGTCGTCGCTGTCGAGG